TGAAATAGTAAAATTAATGTTATCAAAAAGCATGTTTCGAAATTGAGTTTTTAACACATTTTCAAAAAGTACTTTCTGGAACACTAAATTTATTGTTTTGTAAAGTACTTTCTAGAATCTTGTAAAATAACATTTTTGAAAAGTACTTTTCGGAAAATTAATTTTACTATTCTAGAAAATACTTTACAAAAATGTGTTATTTTACATAATTTTGAAAAGTTCTTTCCAAAATAGTAAATTTAATGTACCAGAAAGTACTTTTGGGAATCATATAAAACAATATACTTCCATAAAGTATTTTTCGGAACACTAAATTTATTATTTCAAAAAATACTTTTTTGAAATATATAAAAAACACAATTCTAGAAAGTTTTTTTAACACTAATTTCACTATCCTGCACAATACTCCAGAATAGTAAAAATGTCTTATGTGTCTAATTCAGTAGAAACTGCCGAGAAAGTTACATATACCTACAATGCTGTCACATACTAGTTCTAGGGTCTGAGTGCATGTGAAAAAGTGAAAAAGGTGGGGAAAGAAAAGAATAATATAAAAATCGAAAGAATTAAAACTATCAACCGAAATAGATGAGAAATTGAAGAAAGGTAAGAAGATGCGCATGTGAAAACTGAAAGAAAGAATGAAAGGGGTGTGTGAAAAGGAAGAAGAAAATAATAAATTTAAAATTAGAGGTATAAAATTAAAAATAAAAAATAAAAAACTATGAATATTTAAAAAAATGTATATTTTAAGATGAGTTATGTTTATATTTTTTAAATTTTTGTAATAAAAAAAATAGAGAAAAAGAAAATGGAAAGGATCCTAATTCAAAAGAACACAGGCTGATATTTCTATTTTTTCGAGGCTAAGGAACCTTGTTGATTACTTTCAGGGTTTGAAGCCCACAGTTACGGAGTATTGGAGACATTATTTATTGGCTCATGATATATACACTATTTTTTTTTTGTAAGTACACTTCTTTTTTATTTTTTAAAATATTTTTAATTTTTTATCCTATATTCTTTTAAAAAAAATTTACTCCTTTATTATTTAACTTATGATTTTCTCCTTACTTTTTTTTACATTCATGATATTTCAAAAATTTATTTTTATGAGAAAAATAAAAAGAGGTATACTTAAGAGATATATATATATATATATATATATATATATCACGAGTTACTAATTTTCTATAAGTATGACCCAATGGACAAAAAATAAAATATTGACCCAATAAAAATATCTCTACAGATTTGAGGCCGTGTCCATAGAAGTGTTGCTCCACTTCTATCGAGTCTCTTCTTTTTTGTCGGAAGTGTTTCAAAAGTTCAATATTTTAAAGTACAATGCGTAAAATAACCTAAATTATACTTTTGATTTTTATTTATTTTTATATTTATTTTTTATTGCTTAAAATGTTTAATTTAATCTTCTATCATTGATGTTTAGATGGATTTAACCTTTAAAAATAATTATTTTTTATTTTACAATATGATACTAATTTTATATGTGAAATTTATAACATTAGATTCACTTACATAAAAACTATAAAATTTAGTGGAGGTTCAAATTTAAAAGTTCTATAAATATAATAAAAATGTTATGAAAAATATTTCTTACAAACAATTAAAAATAATATTAATTTTTTTTTAAAAAATTTGTTTATTTTTTATACTTATTTTGTGCGAGTTTCATCTTATATAAGAAAATTTTGGTTTAAACTTCAATTGCGTTTAATAGATTTTATATAAATCAATATAATGAGACAAATTTAAAATCTTGAATCAGTTAATTATGATTCATAATTATATTTTAAAATTAAAAACATTCATTATTTCAAAAACACTAAATCAGCTCAAATTTAAAAGATAAAATTAAAATAAATATTTTAAAAGATAAAAAACCAAAATTAATTTTAAAAAGTAAAATAAATGACCAAAAATATACTTTGACCTTTAAGAAAAGAACCCTTAAAGAGTATAAGACTTAATATTAAAACTTTCATGCAAAAATTCAAGTTTGCAATGGATTTTCCTACCACTTGTTAAATATTTTGGATAGTCAATTAACTATACATAGATATCAAGTATCTATTGTCGAAAGTAGTAACTAATTCCACAAAGTCTGAATTCTAACTTTAGATAACTTAGTTAACAAAATGAATATTATTGTTCTCTCTATTTAGGCCAAAATTAGTCCAACACATCATTAAATATAAATCAAATCTTAAAGTGAATTTTTTTAAAATTATTAATAATATTTTTAATAAAAAAAAAAAAGTTTGAATATAAAACTTTAAAAAAATAATTATATTTATATATCTTTTACAACATAACATTTTAGAATGAATTTTTAAGAATATAATAAGTAACTTAAATTATAAGTATTAAAAAATTGTAAATATTAATAAAAAATAATAAATAAATAAGACTCAAAACAAGAGTTTTATTGACCTTGTGTTTGAGATGCACTTGACTCAAACTGTTGAGATACAAACAAGTCTCACATCGATAAAATAAGACAAGAAATAATAATTTATATAACACAAAATATACTTCAATGATTAAGAGACCTTTTGGGTGATAACTAAAAAGTAAAATTGTGAGAATTTAGGCCAAAAGCGGACAGGACAATATCTCATCATTGTAGAGTATATTTTTATAAAAATAACCCCCAACAGTGGTATTAGAGCTGTCTGGTTGGACGCGATAACAACCCTCGTAACCCCTCATAACATATAATGTGAGGTCCCTTGTTTGAAGGGAGGATAAAATAAGATAAGAAATAATAACTTATATAACACAAAACATACTTCAATGATTAAGAAGTCTTTTAAGTGATGACCAAAAACAAAACCGTGAGGGCTTATGCCCAAAGCGGACAATATCTCATCATTATGGAATACGCTTGTATAATAACCTTAAAAAAACAATCTTATAAAATATTCCCTCAAACAAATACCATACAATAACCCCAACACAAACTATATAACAAAATTGATAATTTGATCTTTGTATATTTGAGATATTCTTTTTGTTTTTGATAAGTAAAAATCGTTCTCATTAGACAAACTTTTATAAAAATAAATTATTACTCATGCTCAAAATGAATAGTCAAACCGTAATATTCTAAGGGGGTGTATTGGTTTAGGATTTCATAGGATTTTAAAAGACTTTTTTTTAGTAAAAAAGTTTATTGGTATTCAATCAAGACTTTATGTCACTTAAAAACAATCCAGTGGTATTTAATCAGGATTTTTAAGATTTTTTAAAGAGTCCATTAAAATTCATTGGTATATTTGAGACTTTTTACAACTTAAAAACAATCCATTGGTATTCAAAAATATAGGGATTTTAAAGGATTGTTGTATTAGAGGGATTTTGGTGGACTTTTTAGTGGTATCTATAAATACCAAATTCATAAAACAATCCCATCCAAACCCATAAGATTTTGGAGGATTGTTTGAAGTGACTTTTCAAGTGTTTCAAGAATTTTCAAGTGGGCTTTTCATCTATTTTTTTTTCTATGCTCATGTCTTCTCCATTTTTTTTCTCTTGTTAATAATACTGCACTACTACTTATATATAATACTGTATTACTGTTCTCATTCCATTCTCCTGTTTGATAAAATTTTTATACGTAAATGATAGTGTCATTAACTTGCTCTATTTTTCTCTCTATTCTCTTTAATTGACTTGCTCTATTTTGGTCTATTTAGATTATTCCTCAGTTATATAACACAAATAACACTTGAAATTTTAACTTTTAAGTAGTAATTTCTTTTATAACACGCGTCAAGAAAAAGGAAAGGTGAAAACTAAAATTGATATCATTATCTCTATAATCAATATATATATATATATATATATATATATACATGTAAAAGATGAATTTGAGTTAGAGTTTTTGTAAATAGAATGAGATAAGAATGGATCTGAAGAACCTTCTCAACATAAAAACTATGATCTCTCTCCCTCTCTTGAATTTGTTATTGTTATCATTCCCCTTTTATGACTCAACAATTATTTTATTTCTTTTTTTTACTATGAATTTTTTTTATTTTTTATTTTTATATTATAAAATTAAGATTTTTATATTTTAAAAAAGAAAATTAACATAAGATATTGCAGTATCCTAGAATTCAATACTAAAAATATTTCTTCACGAGTAAATAATTGAAAGCAATTAAAAATTAAAAAAATTATTTTGTACCTGTAACAAATTTTAGATTTTTTTTTCTCCCAATTGATGTTTGTAAATTTCTACTTTAGTACTGATATAAAATGAAGGGACATATTTAGTTATAAGAGAGTAGGGTAGTTGTCCCACTATTTTTTTTAATCATTTATAAATAAAATATTTTAAATCATATTATAAAAAAAATTGAAATGTTGTTTAGAATAATTTTTAGCATGTGTGGGACTACATAACTTTCTTCGTAAAGAATGTCATTGTGATGAATTTTCAATTGAAGTGATGGACGAACCTTCATCTTTAACATTATTGGTTAATGAAAATCATAATTTTGAGCCTATTATTAAAACATAGGAGCAAGAGCAAAAAAATACTAATGTTTGGAGGACTAGTATAGCTATGAATATGTGAGTAAATTCTATTTAAAACGACATGATATTACAAAAAATTATTATTATTTATCCAAAAATTATTATTATTTTTATTTTTTATATTTGACTCTTTTTAAATTTGAATGTATGAAAAAAATCTTGAATTCTTATCTTATGTCAAAAATTTATGAAATTCTGCAAAGTCCCACAGAATCTATTAAAATCCTAACTTAAAAGTCTTCCATAATTCATTAAAATCCTGATTGAAAATCTTATGAAATCCTAAAAGTCATGAAAATCTTGCAAAGTCTTTTAAAATCTACAAGACTTTTATCAACTAAAAAAGTCCTTTAAAATCCTAATCCAATACACCCCCTAAAATATATATTCTTTTATAACTAAACCAATCCAAATATTTGATTGAATCCAATTCAAATCCATCCCAATCACAAAGTTTATTTAATGGATATCAATATAACACATTCATACCTATCATGATGATTACAACCTATTACATAGATGACCAAAAACACAATTATTGAATAGTATAATACAATGTTTTGGTTTCATCACAAGCATTGTTAATTTCCCCATACACGTGCACCTTTGAAACAAACTTCTAGATTTTATTCGTATAGATTCAGAGCCCCAATTAATGTGTGGAATTGGAAGACTGCTTTCCTTTAACCACCGTGACGGGGCAAGAAGCATTTGTCATGACATGCTTGCTTACACTGCCCAACAACACCCTGTTATAGAAAATATAAAGTATGAATAATATTCTCCTGTAATAATATATATAATATAGAGGGTGCTCGGTAACTAATGGTAATGGTACCTTTTAATGGGACCTAAACCCCTGCTTCCAACAACCAAAGAGTCGAGGTGAAGATCTTCCACAGCATTACACAATTTCTCCCTTGGATCTCCCCAGTACACCTTTGCCACTGCCTTTGCCTGTTCCAAACACACAAAGGTTCACCATTTTTATTATGCTAATTTCATTTACACCACACTTTATTCCCTTAGAAAAAATATCAGAAACAGCATAAATACCCCTTTAGTCCTGGAGGCAGTGTCTAGGATATCTATGACCTCAGGATCCCTAGCAATCCCATATTGCTTAGTGAAGTTCAACTCTCTCAATTCCTCCAAAGGCACCAAAGCTGCAAACCCATTAAGTATTAACCAATCAAACACAAAATGTCAACCACAAGCTTGGTGTGTGAATAATATGAATATATATATGATAGAGTATTTAGTTAATTTATTTGTAGTGGATATGTGGAACTTACGTGAACCAGTGTCCTCAAAAAGCTCCTTTCGGGTGTGATGAGATTGGGGAGGTTGAACGTTGATCAAGATGATTTGATCACCTCTGTTGATGAGATTATCAACGGCCCAACGAAGGGCTAATTTGCTGGTGGCAGAGAAGTCCACAGCTACGCCAACAGTGCGTGTCTTTCCCATATTTGATTGATGCTGCCAAAAATCTCAAGGTTGAGTTCCGTTTTATAGTTAGTGTGTGTTTGGTATTCAGGGGGTTTAGTTAGTTTGTTGATTAAGCTCCTGGTTTTGAAAAGTACTACATAAGAGAAGAATGTTCCTGAAAGCGCTGGAATAAGATGGGGTGTGCTTTGTTCCTTAAAGATAAGTGTTGTGTTATTGACAAATTAAGATGGTGTGGAATATGGCATAAAGGTGACATGCACTCAGACAGTGAATTCTTGTTTTCCCACACACAAGTCCACAGAAAAACACAAGCTTCTGCCATATGTCGTATCTTATTCTGCCAATTCAACTATGGTTGTCTTTTACTTAATTAATTGACCGATTAAAAAGACATTACTAGAAAACAGCATTGAAAATGAATGTGCTTAATATATATCACTATTCTTTTCTAGCTTAAAAAGGAAACTGGAATAACGAATAAAAGGAGGAGATAGGATCCTTATGCCTCTGAAATCTACTTTGTAAAAGATTTTGCTACTATAAATAAAGAAGCCAGAAAAATCTATTTACAACTTGCCTGCCTATTACACTTGTTCAAAATCTTTAGATTTTAAAGATAACTCACAATTATATATATATATAT